TAGATATGAATTGTTTTGTAGGAACCCACAAGTTTTTTCAAATAATTGAGGCTCTTACGGGCAAAAAAGCGTGTTTTCAGCTGTATATAACTTCATCTAGACCTGGAATAATGGAGTTACATACCTAGATTCACACATCTTTGATTTTATTCATGGCTTTTTGTGTACACTTTACGTACTTTTAAAACACAGCGCACTTTTGGCTTCAAGCACGAAATGACATAAATTAACGCACGAAAAAATCATAACGCACTTTACTTGCAAAATTGACGCATATATACATATCATACCTACATATTGTTACATGGTAATGTCTCCCTCCTAGTCGTTGGAGTGGCCTGCATCACACACATCGCGTTGGCGGCGTAACATATGTCTCCACTGTACTCGGTTGGTAGCCAGAGCTTCTGTTGTGTTGTTTTCGATGTTTTCAACACCTGTAAACTTAGCAGCATCTTTGAGTACACCGGCCTTCCAGTTCTTACGGGGTCTGCCCCTTGACCTCTTTCCATAATTTGGCTTCCAGTTCAACAGAAACCTCAGTAGTCTAGAGTCTGGCATTCTTACTAATACTACATGTCTAAACCAACGCAGCCTGGCAGCGCTGATGAAAGTCTCAACTGACTTGATGACAATGATGCCAGTCCTCCTAAGAACTTCTTCGTTGGACATATGAAAGAGCCATTTAATCCTAATGATCCTTCTTAGGGAGGTCTGATGGAAAACCTCGAAGCTTTTCATTTTTTTGTGGTGTTCCAGACTTCAGCTCCATACAACAAGATGGTGAGGACAGCAGCCTTATACTTATAGATCCTGATCTTGGTTGGAGTCTTTATAGTTCTGCTATTCCAAATGTTCCAGAGCTGATTAAAGGCACCATTAGCCTTCTGGGTACGGACATCCTGGTCTCTGTTGATCGTCTCATCCCCACTGATAGTTGCACCCAGGTAGACAATCACAAAGTTACTAACCTGCTCAACGGGATCACCCCAACCGACAGCTCAATACAGTCATCCTTGATGAAACTGAAAGGTCGCTGAGAGGTGCACTTGCTTACAGCCATGTATTGGGTCTTCTTTGCATATCATACCTAGGTTAGTCCTAATAGTAATTATAACATTCATTCAGCATTAAACATTTGTTAACACCAGTGGGAGATCAGGAGTTATTACTTATTACACCACATTAATTGAACGCTGGAGGTCCTAGCGTTCATCTTAATGTCCGTTCAATTAAAGTCTGTCCGTTTGAGGTCCGTCCAAGTAAAAGATGGGATTTTTCCAAAATCATTCCACTGCAAACTCATGTTTAGGATATGACAACTTTTTAATTTCAGTCAATCGTAATTTCTATCATCGGATTCAGACTACCTTATTGGACCTTATTTGGACGGACATTACATGAACGGACATAATTATGAACGGACATTAATATAAACGCTCGAAGGCATTCAAAACCATCAAAAATCCGAATTTTTTCAATTTTTTGACGTTTTTTTAATTTCAGCAAATGATTTTTAAATCCATTTTTATACAGTAAGTAAGAAAAGCTGTCATTAAGCAGTAAAAATGTTAAAATATGTGTACATGATCAGTGTCTAATATCACATATCATCTTCATCAAATGGGTTTTCGTGCATGAAATAGTCCATGCTTAAACAAGCATCAGTGATTTCTAGCTTTATGGAAACCTTTTTTTATCAAACTACCCCGGTCCTGCATTTCAGTGTTAACTTTTACAAGCCGAATTTCGGCGTGAAGTGGTTTTATCTTGACAACTTTAGGTTAAGGGGGGGGGGGGGGGGGGGGGGGGGGGGGGGGGGGGGGGGGGGGGGGTGGGGTTCACCCTGATTTTTTTGTGAAACTTGGTTTCGAGATAGCAGTTGACCAACAAACTAGGACCAGTGACCGAACTTTTGAGGGGGTCCCGGACCCTAACCGCCGAACGGTGCCCGCGGGGCAGCCACGCCCATATTTGGTCCAAATTAGGCCCAATTTAGCCAAATACCCTGAACATGCCCAAAATCCAGATTTTAGGTGCTCTTCTTGTAGCTAGTGGTTCCCTGAACTCGTATAATTTGCACTGCTAAATTTAGAATTTGGCCGCCAAATTTTTTTAAAGGCCTAACTCAAAATTCTGTCCCAAAACTTAAGGTCATGAGACAATTCTACGTTGATTCTGAAAATTTCATGAAGAAATATTGAAACCCTATTGAGTTCTATTGTTTTGAGCGAAGTCAGTTTTGCAAATATCGCGAACTGAGATATGGGCAATTTTGTTCATTTTTTGCGATTATTTGAACACAGAATCCACAGTTAGGTAGATACAGAGCTGATAATCATAAATAATGTGTAGTATAAGCTCACCTTCCATATAAAGTTGGTTTCATTCAAAAATATTGACATTTGACCAATTTCTGGGCCAAAATCGATCAAATTTGGTGCGTATGCCCAAATATGGTCATATGGTTTTTTGCTCATAACTCAGTCATTTTTGTACAATCTTGATGAAAATTCATATACGAGTTCAGGGAACCACTAGCTACAAGTAGAGCACCTAAAAGCAGGATTTTGGGCATGTTCAGGGTATTTGGCTAAATTTGGCCTAATTTGGACCAAAAAATCAGGGTGAACCCCCCCCCCCCCCCCCCCCCCCCCCCCCCCCCCCCCCCCTTAACCTTAACATCACGTGGAGCTTTCCTAGCACTGTTTCATTACCTATCCTCAGTAATATGAACTATAACAACGTTTGACAATGTCCTTGGCAACACGATTTACCGTAATATCTAGAGGCTGGAACAAGTTTGTCATGTTGGCGGGGACTAGCTCATGAACTATGTTGTTGAGTGCCATAATTTCGTTGACTTTTTCCGCCAAGTGACCCTTGAAAACATCATATACTAGTAGAGTTTTCTGTGCCTCCGGCAGACCAAGGAGAACCTTTCCGTCGTTAACTTACGGCACAATAATAAAAATATAAAGTTTTCATAGTTGTCATATTCTGGACAAAAAGTTCGAAATGGAAAAATTTTTGAAAAAATTTCAACGGACTTTAACTTGGACGGACATTAATTGAACGGACTTTATTTGAACGGACATTAAGATGAACGCTAGGGCCTCCAGCGTCCATGTAATGTCCGTCCAAATAATGTCCGATAAGGTAAACTATATTATTGGATCAATGAAATACGAGTTATTATACAATTTAGATATTTTAAGTATCACATTATGGCATGATCACTTTCTTGATCTTCGGCTTCCTCGTTCACCTCTTCGGAGTTATTGTTTACCTCCACATCTTTTAACAGTTTACACTGAAATGCAGGACCGAGATGGTCGAATAAAAAATTTTTTTAAAAAAATCAGGTATTACTGATATAATGCTTTTTTAAACACGGAATATTTAATGCACGATAACCCATTTGAGGAAGATGACCTGTGATATGATCATCAAATCTGGTCATATTTCGTATCAGTTGTTTTTACACAACTTTCGTAATCATAGATATTTTGACATTTTCAAATAAGGTCCGATAAGGTATTCATTTATCACATGCCTTCTCGTGCGATATCAAAACTTTCGCCGACGAGGCTTGCCAAGTTATCAAAAGTTTCGATAACTTGCCGAGGGTTATTATATCGACATTTTCAATTTTCAAACACGAGGCTTGCCGAGTTTTGAAAATGTTGATATCGCATGAGAAGGCATGTGATTAAATTTAATGTTTTAATACACTTTCTTTGGAGCCAAATTTTGCCCGGAAAGCAGAATTTGACTAGACGTTGGTTATGAATCCCACCAAAGCAAAACTAGACATGTCGAACTTAATTATGTTTATAATGTCCAAGCTATGAATAGCTCTCATTAGGTTAGTATTTCGGAACTGGAAGTGGAAGGAAGGCACACAACCATTATGCTGACTTGGCTGCCACTCAGGGGCGCGAACTCCTCACGTCGCTCATGAGGAAAGTCTAAACAGGAATACATCATCGTTCATGACAGGCAGTGTTGAGACCTACCTTCCTTGAACTAAACAGTGCTGGCAAAGCTTCTTAAATTACGAGCATGCTTTGTTGCCTACTTTTCTTTGAGAAGCTCAATTAATACTCGCGGTAGATTACTGGCGTCCGGTCGTATTGTTTATACTTGTAGATTTAATGGCACCCACTATTGGCACCTGCTATTGTTTGGCATCCACCATTGGTTATACTTGCCCCTGTTAAATAACTGCAGACCAGAAGAGACTTGAGGAATCAAGGGACAGCAGTCTTCACGCCAAAAGTCTTCGCACCAAACAATGAGCTGACAAATTCCTGAGATACCAACAGTTGAGCTATATGAACAGTAAACATTGATCTATAGATATTTTGAAATCTTTAATTACTGCTTAACAGCTGCCTTTCTTGCTCATTGTATGAAAAATTAATTTACAAATTATCTGCTAAAATTTTAAAAACGCAAAAAAAAGATGAAAAAATTTGGATATTTGACGGTTTTGAAATTTGAATGCCTTTGAGCATGGGTAGTTATCGCATGGGTAGTTATCACATGGGTAAATTACATTATATTAGCGTAAACGAGAATGAGAGAACAACTATTACATAATGGACATTTATAACATAATCATGGGAGAATAATATTTCTTAATTGATTTAGTTTTACTTTGCAGCTCAGTCATCAGTACTTAATTTTAATCAGGGCTTGAAACTGGCTGGAGGGGGTTCGTAATCCCCCAGTACAGCAAACCTGTGCTTCATTTGTTAATGTTCTAAAAATTTATGTAAGTTGTTAATGATAATAATAATATAACGAACCGCTTTGATTTTATTTTCCAGATCCAAGTACCCAATTATAGATCTCAAAACTGAGTTGCATAATCGATTTTTGCAGTCTGACCATGTCTAACTCAAATTTTGAATTACAACCATTACATTGCTGTTCACTTTTTAAGCTATAATTTTACGTTTTGTCCATTTTTGTCATTTTAACGTTGCAGAATCTTGTACCAGGAAATATGGTATTGGAGGTGGACCCAATTCGGAAGAATCAGAGGAGTGTTGATGATCTTATTGAGGAGTTAGTTGAGCACCGGACATGGAAATATACACTTATGGTCTTGTATATTTCCATCGCTCAGGTTTACGCCGCTACCAGTTCCTTCGTTACTACATTCGCAGGTACTGAAATTACTCTCATTACAATTTTAAAATCATACTGAATATTATCTAAATAAGCTATCTACTTAAATACTATTATGGAATTATAATCATTCCGATCTAATGATAACCTAATCGAGCTAATTCAGGAATGGACCCAGAGCCCGGGGATATTTGGTCCTGTATATCTGAAAAATGCAAGAATTTGACGACAGATAATACCACATTACTGGAAATGTTTCCTTGCGATATCACCGAACTTTTGGATGGAAAAGAAGAGCTGGTTTTTGGACCGTCGGACATAAAATGGCATCTTCAGCGCACCTCATTTTCAGCAGATTTAGATTTGTACTGCGATGTTGGATCACGAAGTGCACAAAAAACGCTCATAGATTCCATGTTCTTCGTAGGATCTCTGCTTGGACTCGTAACTGGAGGTTATGTGTGGGACAATATTGGGAGAGTGAATTCAGCGAGGGTATCTGTTTTGGTCACCGTCATTGCGCATCTGGTGGGAACGTGGTGCCATAATTACAGTATCCTCCTTGCGATCAGATTCTTCACTGGTTTCGGAGATTTCGTGACTTTCACTGGAACATACATACTAATGATGGAACTGACGGGAATCAAGTACCGAACCTCTGTGAATGCTTTTCAGGGCCTAACATGGGTACTTGGCTATCCATTTTTAATAGCGACCGGATATTTAAATTACGATTGGAACTACATGTTCCTAACAACGGCGATCCTAGCTCTTGTCTGTAATCTTCACGTCTATGTGTTTCTGATCGAGTCACCACGGTTTCACCTCGTCAATAACGATATGAAGGCAGCAAAGAAATCGCTGAAAGCGCTAGCTGCTTTGACTACAGCTGATCTGGACGTAGATGAAATTGAGATTGTAGATACGGAGAAGGTGAATGATAGGAAACAGACTTTCATCCAGCAGCTGAAAGACCTGTGGACTTACCCAGTACTTCTTAAGGAGGGCTTATGCCTGGCACCTCTCTGGTTCTGTATTAATATGTTCTACTACGGATTTAACTTTGCATGGGATATGATATTGCCTTCGGCTAGCCTTTACCTTGGGTTTGTGATGGGAGGAGTTGGAGAGGCTATAGCGTGTTGTCTAAGTATGCCAGTGATACAGTTCCTGGGCAGGAGAAGGGCCATGATTGTCTTCCAGTGTCTTTCGGCCCTGGTGTTCCTGATTGCAATAGCGGATGTGGATTTAGGCAACGATTGGGGATTGGATAGTGTTTTGTCTCTGATAGGTTTGACGACCGTGAGCATCTGTTTCTCTAATGTCTACCTGTGGACGTCAGAGATTGCGCCGACATCCCACCGAGGACTTGCTTATACTCTCGGGTCAGGATTAGGTAAGTTTGGAGGCTTTGCCGGACCCTATGTCTTCAACAATCTGGGTCCAGCAACAACCAGAGCAGTTCCGTGGATACTCCTTGCTGTGCTTTCGCTTCTCTGTGCTTTGGCAGCAGTTTTCTTAATTGAGACGGGGGACAAGGAATTAACTCATGTGCCTGCAGAAGTTCAGGAGCGAAGAAAGGGGTTCAGATATAGGATCTAGTGGACACTGAAAGTGAACATGAACAGGTAGCTTCATTTTGGTACATTAGTGCAGTAAGAAAAGAACTGATTTTTAAACATAAAGGGTTATGAATTAGTGTACAATAGAGAGTATCGTTTGCATGCTTAGGATTATGTTCGTATCAACGGAACCCTCTCTGGAGTCTATCTGTAAACAGGGGAGATAGCATCTGGTGTTCTGCCAGAATTTTACCAAGAGGCAGGCACAGGATCGCGGCTCCTTCGACAACTTCTACAACTTTGGCTGTTATCGCTGCTAACTGCTCATGATGTAGAGGAACAGAGAAAGGGCTGAAAGAACCATCTAATATTGAAGAAACGTTAAACTTAATGACTTATACTTACAATCAAACTTTTAAAAACTCTTATAAACTTTTTCTTTAACAGTAGTTATACTTATAGTACTAGTAGTAGTAGTAGTAATTTTAAAATTATAATTCGAGATCTTGTTTTTTATTTTTACACTTATAGTTATACCCACTGACCGATAAACTCCGACTACCACCTATCTACCTCCCTGAGCAAAGTCCCCATCCCCTTCAACTAATTCAGCTCGGATAATCTTAAATTGGAAACTAATCTCATCTGAAAAATATTAGAGTGTGATAATAGTATTGCTGGACATTTTATTTTAACTGTTCAGTACCTTAACTTTGAGTACCTCAACCGTGTCCTGTGGCTGTGCCATCCACAGTGAGCTCATTAATATAATAATATAATTGGTCATTCAAGAAAAATTCAGTCAAAACAGTAAATCATGTGTTGCGAAAAGCTGAAATCTGAAAATTTCTTAAGCTATAATAGGACATTTCAAAATATCAATTCCTTTCGTCAAAGTTTTTTCCGGATATTCAGCTTCCGCAGTTATACCACACTTTTATTACCTTATCACTTATATTTTCCGGCCTTTCTATATTTGAATTTCTAACAACCGGTAATTCCGGTCCGGCAATTAAATCCGGCTAACCGGATAATAGATTGATATATCCGGAAAAATTCCGTCCGGCAGCCAAAACACATGACATTATAAAACTCATAAAAGCCCATGCATGGCGCTCAATGCTCATAGTCATTTCCCTGCGGTTTCTTTGCGTTCGCGACTATACCCGTTTGCGATGCCACTGTGTGGACGTAGCTGTGATAAATCTTACATCCTCTTAAAGTACATGCTCTAACTCGGACATCGCAAGCTTAATCAGTTCTGGGGACTGTTCCTGGGTAGAGTTATGAAGGTTTAAAGCTTTCGTGCCGCGCAATCGCCCCAAAATGGCTAAACATGTGCACCGTCGAAGAATAACTTTGCGCAGGGAATGCGCAAGGTCTACAATATGGTAGTTAATATTGATTTTCGACCTCCAGCAGGATAGCCTAGTTCGCTAAGCAGGCGATTGGCTGTGGTAGCTGAGGGTTCAAATCCCTGTCTAGACTTTAATTTTGTTTTAACTGAAACAAGTTTTCAACAAAAACTTTCTAGTGTTTGGTTAATATTGATTAGTTAACTATATTAAAAGTTATACTCTAGGATGAAATTCATAATTAGAAATGGCAAAGCAGCTATAAGTATAATACGCAGAGCAACATTATACTAGAATTTTATAGAAATAACATTGTCTGTCTCTGATTATTTTTAAATATATACAAGTAACAGACGTGACCAGTGTTGCATCTGCATCGATTAGTATTCAGTTCGGAGTCGTCGATATCAGCTATTACATAGATTTTAAATTGCTGCTATAGCTGCAGATATGATTATGAGCAGTTTTTATCAGTCTGATTTGGTCCGTTTTGGACTGGGCCCAGTTTGCTAAGGATTCTGTTTCTATCTGGTGTAAAACTTGGTATGCTGCGAAAAGAACATTCTGAAGGCAGAAAGCTCTGGATTGGTCTTTAAGTGCCTCTCTCAACGACAATCCCTCTTTAGCAGTTACTAATACTTGATAGCTCTATTAATTCTGCCTGTCACGGTGGGAAAGGAAGGTCAAGACTGCTTGTTTTATAACTTTTTGTTGGGACTATTGACATGTAGTGTTTGGAGAAGGAGGGTAACGAAGGAGCACTTCTTAGTTGTCCATTGGGCATTACTGTCCACATCTGAAACAGATTTTAATAAAAGGAACTGAATAATAATACGGTTGAGTAAAATCAAATCTGAGACTTGAGTGGCGAGTGCAGTAGGGAAAGAAAATCTATAAGTGCATCTTAAACTGCCAAACTTACTGTTGAAAAATACTGTTTGACTACACTTCAATTCACCAGCCTCTCATCATTTTCAATGTGTGAAGCAGCTGGCGTGAGTTTCGTGAAAATCTTCGATCATCCCAGCCTCCAGGAGTTGCTTTTATTTTAGGGTCCTCTTAGAGCTTTAGAGGTTATCGATATTCCAGATTATGTCTGCTTTGTTGTCAGTACTTCCGGGGGTTGTATAAACCTGAGAAATTGAACAGTTCAATACCAGAAAGAATGTTGAAGACTTTGAAAGTTCTGCCAAAATGTTTATTTTCTGTACACAAATCCGAATTTGTCTCTTTAGTGGCGATTTTAGACAAAATTTACCTTCTTTCGGACTAAACTTTGAAACTGAATTGAAGTTTAAACGATTACCTCTAGAATGGTATTAATGAATTAACAAATTTATCATCAGAAGTCAAGTTATGGTCGATTTTGGAAGCTTGGATATGCTAAAATTATTAATTACATATTATTATGCGCGGCTCGGTTATATTGCGCGCGCGTGGTCGCTAGGCGCTAGCGCAAAAATTGCTTACATTTTTTTTTCCGTTCGGCAGAAAGACAATCGTGACTGACAAACATGTAGAAAACTCACCCAGAACTTCTAGCATATTCTTTAGGGCGGGAAATACTTTGTATGCAGGGTCTGTGATTATCCCGCCAAATCCGAATTTCTTCCTAATAACACATCACAAAGGCGCGTTCACAATTTTTGCGCATTATAAACAGCTAGATTCCTTTAAAGTCGTTCTATAGTTAATCTCACTAATTCAAAAGGGTGAGACTGATTGGAGAAGAATTGAACCTTTGGTTTCTTCACAAGTAGAAGCACTAAGAAAACACCCAAGTTGTCCATGATAGAGACAAGAAACAAACTTTGCAAAGCAAACTAAACATGCTGACAGCAAATATAACTGAGAAGGAACCACTGATCACCAAGAACAAACCCAGGGTAACATATTGGTAAAAATCTTATGGCCATGTACATAAATGTACAAAAAATCGGAAATCCCTGGAAACGGATTGAGAAATTTCCAAAACGTGTTTAAAATGCTAACAATGCTAGTACATTATGCAAAAACAAAGCTCGGGCTAGGGTATCAAGTGGCTAGGGTACTAAGTGGCTAGGGTACTAAGAGCTGCAACAACTAAGCAATTGTTGTCAGGATAAACTAAGGACTTCATCCCTCAATTATATATAAAGGCTGTAGTCATGTGCAGTTAATACTAACAAATAAGCAATAGGTGTGTGTGTGTGTGTACTTTATGTGTGGCATGTGTGTGAACCAAAACACAATAAATTCAGTCAAACACTGCACTGTACAAAATAATAGTTCATCTGAATACTGTATAACAAATAACAAATAATTTGAGGTGCACTATGGTAGTCCGATAGACGTACACCTGACATTAGGCTATCGGTGAACACAGGGACCACATCATACGTGTGCCCTGCTGAACACAAGCTTTAGGATCAAGTTAGTTTCCCGTTGAGAAGCTCCCTTTGTGCTTGATCCATCCGGCAATACAGCTCTCTATTTTATAGTTCAAATTCAAAAGTTGAACTATTTACTGCTGTACTCCTCATTTCAGACTAGTGGTAACAGTGGTCACAGCGGAACACTTGAAGAAACAATTTCAGCAGCCGGGTTGTCCAGGTGAAATCTTCTCCCAAGTCCAGGTAACCCGTGCTGTAACTGTTGTGTTGTGTGACGCTACTACTACTACTATTGCTTCTGATAACTTCTGATACCTCTTTCTACACTACAACCTCAAATCACGATGTCAACCATCGAGAATCTGAGTGACAAGATAAAGAGTGTCATCGGGAGACTGCTGAAGGATGCCGACCCTATTTCGAAACGAGTACTCACTGTATTTGATCCTTCCCTGGATTCTTCTGTCAAAATCTCTAAACTGGCCAAGGTCAACAGAGGCGAGCTAGACGCTCTTGGAAATTACCTTAAGTTGCCTCTAGTTAGCAGAGGATTAAAGAAGAAACTTTTCAGCTCACGAGAGAAACTAGCTAAACGGATTGTGTCAGAGATCATTTCTCTGTACCCTGCTGTTTGTTCCGAGTGTTCAGAAGAGTACACAGTGATGCCGGGCTTCCAGCCCAAATACAGATGTTGGAGTTGTCTTCATGGAGCTCACGACTGTGAAAACTTCACAGCCCAAATGGAGCTTTACGAAAGTCTCCCAACCCAACTCAGTGGTTTGGTATGGTTATGCTCAGACTGCATAGCAGTCAACAAAAACAACAACATTGGGGAGTGTGATGAACCACCGTCTGGAATGGGAACGCCAGGTCACACTAAGGAAATCAACCAGGCTCGACCAGATACCAACACTTCGCTAGAAAACAGCACTAATCAGAACAACAGTGCTGCAAGTCTTGAAGTAGTGAAACTGGCTGAAGAGTTGGAGAAAATCAAGAAAGAACAGGAAAAGTCTGAGTCGCCAAAAATCCGATTTTACTATATACTAGCAGTCTCGAGAGTAACAATTATCACACTTATTTCAAGATATCTCCGCTTCTGATTGGAGCTAAGCGCTCATCTTGGGCATTGAAATGGTCAGAATTATCACATTGAGTGGGGTAGAGCGTGGTTTTAAAGTCTTCAGACTCCAGGGTGTTGAGTTATTTGGTCAGATCCCATTTTTACGCTCTCGCGAGTAGCGATTGATGCTACTGATATATCAGCTTCTGATTGGAGCTAAGTGTTCATCTTGGGCATTGAAATGGTCAGAATTATCACATTGAGTGGGGTAAGGCATGGTTTTAAAGTCTTCAGACTTCAGGTTGTTGAGTTATTAGTTCAGATCCCATTTTTACGCTCTCGCGAGTAGCGATTGATGCTACTGATATATCAGCTTCTGATTGGAGCTAAGTGTTCATCTTCGGCATTGAAATGGTCAGAATTATCACATTGAGTGGGGTAGGGCGTGGTTTCAAAGTCTTCAGACTTCAGGTTTTTGAATTATTAGGTTAAAACATATTTTTACACTCTTGCGAGTAGCGATTGACACACTTATTACAAGATATCGCAGCTTCTGATTGAAGCTAAGTGCTTATCATGGGCATTGAAATGGTCAGTATGGTCATATTAAGAGCAAACAGTTCACACTGGTATACAGTTGCCTGAGTGCCTAGGTGGAAACTTTGTCTATGGACATTGGACCTCGATTGAGTTTCTTATTACGCAGTAACCTGCACCTGAGAACTGTTCTCATTATAGTCAATCTTACTATATATAAAGCGAGACGATATATATATATTTATCCGTGCCATTTTACTGACACCACGGCATCAACTTTAATGCGAATTTCCGCAAAAACCATAAAAGATATACAACTGAAACTTTTTTGACTGGGTCAATTGCTTTAATAGCCTCAAAATCCGCATGAAAAAATGAAAAATTGGCTAAGAAATAGGAGTTTTAGAGCCCAAAATTTGGTGCCCCAAGTGGTGTCAAAAACGCAAATTAAATAGGTATAGTAATAATTATTTTAGTCGCTTGAGTCTTGACACCATTTTAGGGTTATACGGGTTCCTGCTAGTATTTAATAATGCACTTCGATTTCATAATCTAACATGTATCAATTATATACTATGTGACTTCTTTGTAGTATGTGACTTGTTTGTACTTTGAGTTTGTAGCTCCTTACTGGGCCGCGCTCAGCTTGTCATTCCGCCTAATCTCTATTTTATGTTTATGAACAATGAACATGATAGCCTGTGATCCCCAGTTAATACGTGACCTCTTTACTTCGTAATATGTGACTTGTTAGTAGTTCATAAATCTAGATGTTAAACTTAAAATATCTTCCGTTATTTTTCTTTTCGTTAAATACATTATTCTCCTGTTTCGCTATTAGTATTAGTATTTTATTAGCTTTCTAACATTTGCAATCTGCAAATATAAATATGGATTTTAATATTTTTACCGTGTAGCTTTATTAGATATGAATTGTTTTTATAGGAAAACACAAGTTCTTTTTAAATAATCGAGGCTCTTACGGGCAAAAAAGCGTGTTTTCAGCTGTCTATAACTTTATAGTAGTGGAACAGCAATACTAAGGTAATGGGACTACTGCGGACCCTCTACCGGCCAAACCTTGTTAACAAAGCCGCAGTCAAGGTTCGGTGAACGGTAGTTAAAAGCGCTTAAGGGACATAAGTCAAATTGGTAGAGCAACATCATGTAGTGGACGTCTTAAGAAATGAGGAGTAGGTAGAATGTTAGGTTGCTCCTTTATAAATCGTCTTTTTCTCCGATAATAAGTTGACATCAAGTCTTGAAAATTATTCGAGAAGAATCTCGAATAATTTAGTTGCAGCGTGCCACATGGCTATCTAAACTGCAAACCCTACCCATTGCTGAGCAAGGCCTTTATCTTCTCAAGGAGCAACCTAACATTCTACCTACTCCTCATTTCTTAAGACGTCCACTACATGATGTTGCTCTACCAATTTGACTTATGTCCCTTAAGCGCTTTTAACTACCGTTCACCGAACCTTGACTGCGGCTTTGTTAACAAGGTTTGGCCGGTAGAGGGTCCGCAGTAGTCCCATTACCTTAGTATTGCTGTTCCACTACTATAGAAATAATCCCGATAACACTCGACCTCTGCCTGATCCAGAGGATATCACCATTTTACCTTCACACAGACATCGAACGCTGTACGAAGATGACGATCAGACCTCATTATGTCTATAACTTTATCTAGACCTGCAATAATGGAGTTACATATCAAATCATGCTCCACTGCACGTTATTTTCACATCAAATAACAAGCACTAGCACAATCCACTTTCAACACCAATTCACTTCATATGCACAAAGTCAGCACAGGTCATTTCACCTTGGAGATTCATAACACTAATCACTCGTCATTGTCACGTGTTCACTTCACCACGACTTCACAACCATTCAAATAGTATCTTCATGTCCCATGGTCACCAATCACTCGTCACGTGTCATGCTACATATATGTGCCGTTTTATAATTATTTGAGAATTTATGTTCTAGTAGCTCTGTTATTTTTTTATTTTTAATGCCTTGTCATACGTTGTATGACCCGCCGCGCACGAAGTGCGCGGCTCCCCTTGTATCACTATAATGAAACGACTCTTACATACCCTTTTTAACTGTGGCAGTGAAATCCCGGACGAAGGGATTTCACTAGTATTCAATATAATATGAATAATGCACTTCGACTTCATATATGAAGTCGAAGTGCATTATTCATATTATATGCATACAACTTATATAGTATGTGACTTTACTGGGCCGCGCTCAGCTTGTCATTCCGCCTAATCTCTATTTTATGTTTATGAACATGATAGCCTGAGGTCCCCAAGTAATACGTGACCTGTTCGTACTCGTAGTATGTGACTTGTTTGTAGTTCCTAGTAAATATATATTATGTTAAACTGAAAATATCTTCCGTTATTTTTCTTTTCGTTAAATACATTCTTTTCCTGTGTCGCTATTTTATTAGCCTTCTAACATTTGCAAATATAAATATGGATTGTCGCTCACTCTGTCACTACTGACAGCTCACTCTGTCACTACTGACAGCTCACTCTGTCACTACTGACAGCTCACTCTGCCACTACTGTCAGCTCACTCTATCACTACTGACAGCTCACTCTGTCACTACTGACAGCTCACTCTGCCACTACTGACAGCTCACTCTGTTACTACTGACGGCTCACTCTGTCACTACTGACAGCTCACTCTGCCACTACTGACAGCTCACTCTGGCACTACTGACAGCTCACTCTGTCACTACTGACAGCTCACTCTGTCACTACTGTCAGCTCACTCTGTCACTACTGACAGCTCACTCTGTCACTACTGACAGCTCACTCTGCCACTACTGACAGCTCACTCTATCACTACTGACAGCTCACTCTGTCACTACTGACAGCTCACTCTGTCACTACTGACAGCTCACTCTGTCACTACTGACAGCTCACTCTGTCACTACTGACAGCTCACTCTATCACTACTGACAGCTCACTCTGTCACTACTGACAGCTCACTCTGTCACTACTGACAGCTCAATTTGTCACTACTGACAGCTCACTCTGCCACTACTGACAGCTCACTCTGGCACTACTGACAGCTCACTCTGTCACTACTGACAGCTCACTCTGTCACTACTGTCAGCTCACTCTGTCACTACTGACAGCTCACTCTGTCACTACTGACAGCTCACTCTGCCACTACTGACAGCTCACTCTATCACTACTGACAGCTCACTCTGTCACTACTGACAGCTCACTCTGTTACTACTGACAGCTCACTCTGCCACTACTGACAGCTCACTCTGTCACTACTGACAGCTCACTCTGTCACTACTGA